TCAAAGCGAGGTTAACTTTGAAATGAGATCGGGTTGGTCTGGGTCTTGCCGAGTTTTGCAATCTTCCAGGGACGGAAATTCCTTCAAAGTTGCCAGCAGATCTCCTCGACCTCTCCAGACAGCTGCCTGCAGTCCCCAGCTGGTGTGGAGGTGCCGCTACTCCTCCATCAGCTGGCCCCACAAGCAGTGAGTGATCTCCAGGAGCAGGCCGAGAGCAGCGAGGTGGAGACAGACCCAAAGCAGCCCCAGAGCCTCTCCTGGCTCCTGGCAGAAGCTCAGCAGGGACCGAGCACCCTGCATACGGAGAGGGAAACTCAAGGGTTGTGCTGCTTGGATCAGGTCAGGGCACGTCCTAAAGAAATCGCAAGCATCGACCAAAAAATTCATCTCCCCAGTTCTAGGAGAGTCTGCCAGTAGGCTGTAGGTGAATTCTGCTTTGGTTTTGTGGTTTAATTCAGCTTACAGGTGTAAAGCCGATGTGTGACAGCAGGAGGCACCTTCAAAACAATCAAACGTCAGCTCCGGAGTCACATTTTTGACTTGCAGTTTGAAATTCTGACTTGCAGCTTGAAATTTGGCAAGGATCTAGCCCGAGGTCTGACAAATGCCTTCTGCTGTTCAAAGCAAAGGAACTGGCAGGATTATGAGTCAGAGTTTGTCGCCACCTCCTTGTATCCAAGGTAGGATTTGCAGGATATTTTGTTACCCGCTCTCCACGGGCTTTCATGCCTGTCACTCCTCCTGCTTTAAACCTCCGCTGGCAAATGGATTCTCCTCCTCCCTCTGTCTGGGTTGTCACCCCTGCGTGGTGCGGGACCATCTGCGGGGCTGCGGCAGCTGAGAGGTGCCTGGGGACACTGAGCTCCCGAGGCGAAGGGAAGGTTTTGTACTCCCAGCCCTACGCTGGGGCCTGGGAAAGCTGAGGTCTCCACAGATTTTTTTTCAGCTTAGGGAAAAAAAAATAAAAAATTAAAAAAAAAATGGAAGTGGAAAGGAACATTTTGTGAAACGCTGCCTGTGCCAGATTTTCGTTTTAAGGGAGGAAATCCCGGGGGAACAAAACCTTTTGTTTTGGTGTTTTAAGGAGAAACTTTTTTTGATAAACAGCTTCTGAAGTGAAATCAATTTTTACCGCTATGGTTTTTAAAAGCCGATATGGAACAAACATTTTGGGGGTTGAATTAAATGTTTATTCGACCCAAAACGTGCTCCACAATCTTTTCAGGTCAATAATGTTATTTCCTCTTCCTCCCCGTTTTTCTGTGTAACAGCACAGCAGGCAAAACAAAACAGAGCTGTAGCTATGCAAAAAGAAATCCATCTCTGAACTCTGCCACCGTTTTGCTGGCTAAGGTGAACGTTTCCATCGGCAATCGTGGCCAGGCCTGATCCTTTAAAGAGTAATGACGTGGAGATGTCAGGTGCAATGAGCACTGGGTGCTCACCTCCTGAATTAAACACGCTCGAGCTCCAAAAATCAAGAGCTGCCCATGTAAAGTGGAGCTGCCTGGATGAGCAGGTGAGGGAAAATTAGGTTTAAATTGAGATTTGCTCAAAATTCTGGGGTCAGGAGCAGCAATGCCCTCCTGAGCCACTCCGCTTGGGCACATCCTTCCAGTTACATTCAGTTTGGGTTTTTGTTGCATTTTTCTCCCTTTTTCCTGCATGCTGGACAGAAATGTCATACAGCAAGCAGGGAAAAATGGCTTTTCATAAAGCACCTTAACACGTGGAGAACACCTTCTGTAGTCTCATTTCTTGTGGCAGCGGCTCCTCCTGCTCGGGGCATGGAAGGACGAGGCGGGCAAAACTTTAGTCCTTAAAGCTTGTTCTTTGACTTGTTTTCTGCTGTCAGCCGTATATCTTTTCCTCCTGAAACTTCAATCAAAGAGGCAGCACTTAGGAAACGTATAAATCTGTATCCAGATCTGCTACAGAGACAGCTTTTAAGTGTTGAATTCCACTCTGGAGAGTAAGCCTGTCTTAATAAAATTACTAATGAATTGGTGTTATGAACTGTTTATGTTCTGAAGAGCAGAGTCCTGAGCAGTTGCGTGCTCGGAGATAAAATACAAGCTCCAGGGCCTTTGAAAAGGTGTGTCTGCACTTAGTTTGGTTTTATTTCCCTGGGAAAATATCCATTTTGTGGGCTGGTTGTGCTAGGAATGTCACTTGTGTGAAGATCTGAGGTAAAATTACAAAAGGGCGTTGTAGTAGTGAATATCTTGAGAGATGAAGTGCAGCTACGTGGAATTTTTCCTCCAGATTCTTCTACTGCAGAATCACAGAATGGGTTGGGTTGGAAGGGACCTTGAAGACCATTTAATTCCAGCCCCCTGCCCTGGGCAGGGACACCTCCCACCAGCCCAGGTTGCCCAAAGCCCCATCCAGCCTGGCCCTGAGCACCTCCAGGGATGGGGCATCCACAGCTTCTCTGGGCAGCCTGTGCCAGGGCCTCACCACCCTCAGAGTACTGAATTTCTGCATTATATCTTAATCTTTGCTCCTGTATTTGACTCAAAAGTATTTAAGGGACAAGCCAGAGCGACCCCTGAGCCACTAGTGGCAGTCTTTAGGAGTTCGTGGAGGATGAGGGGTGGTCTCAGGGACATAAAACCTGGTCTGAAATGAGGGGGAGAACACACAGGGAATTACAGATTAGTTCCCAGAATCGTTGTTCCCAGAAAAATACAGGAAGAATTCGCTTTAAAAAGAGCCTATAAGCACCTAGAGAACAACAAGAGTTTATTTTTAAGACAGGTGGATTTGTCAAAAAAGCGAGTTATCCCACGCAAACCTGCATTCCTTCCTTGTCAGTGGAGTCAGCCTCCTGCAACTGGATGCTGCAAAGCCTCCTGAAGTCAAAACCCACGAGAAGGTTGCAGTGGCATCCTCGTAAGCAGAACAGGAGAGGTGTTTCAGGGGAACTTAACTACTGGGGGTGTGCGTGATTGCTTTGATCTACTGCTCAAGCGTGAGTTGTAATTCCCTGGTACACTGACAGACCGTGGTCAGGCAGCGTGCTGCAGCTGCAGCAATCCCATCAGTAACCGGTACCGCGGCTTCTGGAAGGTTTGTAGAGGAAGGAGGGCTGCAAACATCTGGCTTTGCTGGGATTTGAGAACAGTGAGTGCTGCTGCACCTCCGGTCGTGTCAAACTGCAACCCCAGCCAGCTCCTCTGGCTGCTGAGGAGCTTGTGACAACTGGCATGTCTGGCATCTCGGAAATTTTACTCAAGATCGCAGAAAAATTAGGTAATACCACCCAGCTCTTCCCCAGGAGAATTGCCCAACGTTTCGTCTTGGCAGTTGCCTGTCTTTTGTGAAGAGCCCTCCAGCCCCGCAGAGGAGTGGCACAGTTAATGATGCTCTCCCTACCTCTCGTCCCTCCGGGCAGGGAGACAAATGGATCCATTTAGCTGGGCTTCGTGGCTTTCTCGCTGCGAAGATAAACGAGACGGTCTGCAGCGCACGCTTTGTGTATGCTTTAAAATAAATATCCTTTACACCTCTCTGCGATTTTACAGATGGCTGGCGGTGGCTTGTCGAAGAAGGGCACCCTTCAGCGCCAGCACTATGAAATAATTATGACCCTGGAATGATGATTACCAGAGATTTATGGAGCGCTGGCGGTGTCCTTAATGCTGTGTAACCGTATCCCTGGCATAAGGAGCCCCTCGTCCTGGGCGGCACGCTCCGGGTGTAGGCAGAGGAGCAGTGCGGAGAGATTCGGAGGGTCACTTCCAGGCACTCGGGGAGGATTTTTGCAGCAAAGTGCAGTAAGGCCCAGTTTCAAAGCACTGTGTGATAGCTACGGATGAGCGATTTTGTCTTTTGCCTAAAGACAAAATGTGAAGTTATGAATTATTTGCCTTCCTTCCTAGCCACAGCCTCTGCTGGCCCCATAATCAAAAATAAAGGGCTGTGTTACCCTACTGTGGGAAATAGTATTTATTTTCTCCTTCTCGTTTTCTTAAGCTGCACTGCTTCCTTTTATACTGCTCTTCTTTCAAGATTTTGTCAAGATCCAAGCTGGCCTTCTGTTTCTAACCTGTTACATGCCCCAAAAACCTTGTGAAGCAGCTGCTTGGATGTTCCTTTTGCACTTGAGCATGCCACAACTCTGGGCAGTAGATAATGTTCCACTGTCTACAGACTCATGTATCTGTGGGATTTCTTGTACAAGAAATCAGCGCCTGCTTTTATTTCAAGAAGAAAACTATTACAGAGAGTATAACCCACTGCAGAAGTTAGTGCATCGTTTCCAACAGCCTAGTTGTGGTCCCAGTGGGATAAAACTCACTCCAGTCTGTGCTATTTAAGAACATATTTATTCTCTGAATTTATGCAGGCCTCAAGTTGGGCTGGTACTTCTTTAGTTTTTCTTAGAAGTGAACAAGGAATTCTGAATGGAAAATACATAATTTTGTTTGGCTTCTGCTTGCTATATCACTTTTTAATGCCTTTTTTTTTTTTTTTTTTTTTCCTCTGGTGGAGTTCACACAATCAATCACGTCCCCGTTAATGCATAGAGCCAAGAAAACAGATCTTAGTTAATTGCCATTTGTTAACAATCAACTTTTATTGGTCTGGGATTGGCCTTCACTTGAAGAATGACATTTGGGGAGCTAGGAGGAAAGGACACTCATCTTTTGTCTGTCAGAGCGCCTTAAAAAGGCATTTTTTGCCTCATTTCAAACTGGGGAGAAAGGCCCTGTGCATGCTTGTACCTCTGTGTGTAATGAAGCAGAAAAATAGGCTAAACGTGCCTTTTTTAGAAAGGAAACAGAGGGGAAATCAGTAGCCCAGCTATAATTGAGTTGGAATTTGTCCTTCTTGCCTTAGCTGTGAGGATCTCTTCCTGGAATGGGTCTGCTGGTTTCAGGGGTGAACAGTGGTGGACAGAACCCTAAGGGGCTGAATTACCTTAAGCCGTGCTATGTAGCAGAATAGAAGTCAGCCTTTAAATCGAACTAATTACACTCTCTTCTTTGCTACAGGTGGTGGATGTGGACTTTAAAGCAGTGTCTCAACATTTCATCCTCAACTGTCTTTTTTTTAATCCGATTGCACTACCCAAGAAAAGCTGCTAACGGGAGAAATGTTGAGACGTTACCAGAACTGACTTGAAGCACCAAAAGCCATTATTACCGATCCAGAAGAGCTTGAAGCTAAGCCTGTAGCTGACCAGTCCGTATCGCATCCGCAGGAACAGGCATGGCAAGTAAACGAAAATCAACAACGCCGTGCATGGTCTTAGCCAACGAGCAGGATCCGGACCTGGGGACGGTGTCGGACGTGGAGGAAGGGCCGCCCGCAGCGGCGCCGGCAGAGAACAACCCCGTGGCAGAGAGCGCCACGAGCGAGGAGGACGCGCACGAGTGCGTGGATTCAGACAATCAGAAGAACGCCAGTAAAGTCGAAGGTGGCTACGAGTGTAAATACTGTACTTTTCAGACTCCCGATCTCAACATGTTTACTTTCCACGTGGATTCGGAACATCCCAACGTCGTGCTGAATTCGTCCTACGTTTGCGTGGAATGCAATTTCCTTACCAAAAGATACGACGCGCTCTCAGAACACAATCTGAAGTACCACCCCGGCGAGGAGAATTTTAAACTGACCATGGTGAAGCGTAACAATCAGACAATCTTCGAGCAGACTGTCAATGACCTCACTTTCGATGGGAGCTTTGTTAGAGAAGAAAACGCCGAGCAGGCTGACCCTGCCGAGGCCCCCTCGTCGGGGATCTCCATTAGCAAGACGCCCATTATGAAGATGATGAAAAACAAAAGCGAAACCAAACGCATTGCTGTTTTCCACAATGTCATCGATGACATTCCTGGCGAAGAAAAGGGAACGGAAAATGAGCCAAACTCGGAAGAAGCAGGAGAGAAGCCACCGCCGGCGGTTTCCGAGTCCAAAGCAAGCCACTCGGCCGTTTGCAGCGCAGCAGACGTGACGAGCACGGTGGTGACCCCAGCGCCGGTGCTTCAGCCCGGGGTGGCACAGGTCATCACGGCTGTTACAGCTCCGCAGAACTCCAACCTGATCCCCAAAGTCCTGATCCCTGTAAATAGCATTCCGACCTACAACACCGCTCTGGACAACAACCCTCTTTTGCTCAACACCTACAACAAATTCCCGTACCCGACCATGTCAGAAATCACTGTGCTCTCCACTCAAGCGAAGTACACAGAGGAGCAGATCAAAATCTGGTTTTCTGCCCAGCGTCTGAAGCATGGTGTGAGCTGGACGCCGGAGGAAGTGGAGGAAGCGAGGAGGAAGCAATTTAATGGCACGGTGCACACAGTGCCGCAGACGATCACCGTCATCCCAGCGCACATTTCTGCCGCTAGCAATGGGCTACCTTCGATTTTACAGACGTGCCAAATAGTCGGTCAGCCAGGCCTTGTTCTCACTCAAGTCGCAGGTGCCAATACCTTACCGGTGACAGCCCCGATAGCTCTGACTGTAGCGGGAGTCCCAAACCAAACCCAACTGCAGAAGAGTCAGATCCACACCGCTCAGCCCGTGGCAGAAACCAAGCAGGTAGCTGCCGTGCCTGCCCCTCAGCCGATCAAAAATGAAACTGCCCTAATGAATCCCGATTCCTTCGGCATGCGGGCCAAAAAAACAAAGGAACAGCTGGCAGAATTAAAAGTCAGCTACCTGAAGAATCAGTTCCCTCAAGATTCAGAAATTAGCCGGCTTATGAAAATAACAGGCCTGACTAAAGGAGAGATCAAGAAGTGGTTCAGTGACACGCGCTACAATCAGAGGAACTCAAAGAATAACCACGGGATTCATCTCAACAGCGATTCGTGTGCCACCATTGTTATTGACTCGAGTGACGAAATGAACGAGTCCCCAACGGGAGCCACTCCCCAGAGCAAGTCCTCGTGGGGTGCATTTCCCGACTTCACCCCGCAGAAGTTCAAGGAGAAGACAGCTGAACAGCTGCAAGTCCTCCAGGCGAGTTTTCTTAATAACCCTGTCCTTACAGATGAGGAGATGAACAGGTTAAGAGCCCAAACCAAACTGACCAGGAGGGAGATCGATGCCTGGTTTACAGAAAGACGGAAGTCGAATGTCTTAAAGGAAGAGGGAGCCGATGTGAACGAGAGCAATGCCAGCAGCTCAAAAGAGGAGGCTGGAGAAACATCCGTGGGAGACGGAGCAGCGGGACCAAAATCGGGGGGCTCCGCTTCCAGCAAAATAGGCAAAAAATCCCCAGAGCAGTTGCACATGCTCAAAAGTTCATTTGTTCGCACTCAGTGGCCATCCCCACAAGAGTACAACAAGCTGGCAGAAGAAACGGGGCTCCCAAGGTCAGAAATTGTGAGCTGGTTCGGCGACACTCGCTACGCCTGGAAAAACGGTGGGCTGAAGTGGTATTACTACTACCAGAGCGCCAACGCGGGCAGCCTGAACGGGCAGGGCTTCGCGAGGAAGAGAGGGAGAGGAAGACCAAAAGGGAGGGGGAGAGGAAGGCCTCGAGGGAGGCCTCGGGGGAGCAAGAGGTTAAACTGCTGGGACAGAGGCGTGTCGGTGATAAAATTCAAAACTGGAACAGCGATCCTGAAGGACTACTACATGAAGCACAAATTCCTTAACGAGCAAGACCTCGATGAACTGGTAGCCAAATCGCACATGGGGTATGAGCAGGTCCGAGAGTGGTTTGCAGAAAGGCAAAGGAGGTTAGAACTTGGGATAGAGCTCTTTGAGGAGAACGAGGAGGAAGACGAAACGCTGGAAGATCAGGAAGATGAGGAAGAAACAGACGATAGCGATACGTGGGAACCGCCCCGACATGTTAAGCGTAAACTCTCCAAATCCGATTGATGCACGGTTTGGGATCTGGGAGCCAAAAACCTGTGAATTAGGTTTGATCTGATGCTGAAGAGCCAAACCATTTTTCCTGGCCTTCGGTTTTAGCAAGCACCTGCAAAGCATCTCCCTTGCACCCGGGAGAACACGGGCAAGATGCGACCCGTGCAGGTGGCCAGCGTTTGCTTCCTTGCTACCAGAGGTGGACATCCTCAGGCCCAGCCTAGGACATGGGGTTACAAATCAGCTCCAGTTCAGCTCCTCCTCTTCTGTGTTACCGATGGGAAGGTTCATCATACACATGACTGCTTCTCAATATTTCATTGCCTTATGTTGTTTGATTCCAAAAAACCACAAACCACCACAGACGCATATTTTTTTGTTGTTGTAGGAGAACATTGCCTGCTCGCGAAGGAGGAAAATACAAAAACCTAGGATGTGTTTTTGCAAACATCACTTCACCTGAAAGGTTTCAAGGCCTGGGTTTATTTCTTAAGGAAAGGATTCAAAACAAAAGAGAAGGGGAAAAGTGTGACAAAGGAACCAATGAACCTAGGGGTGAGGATTGCTTGGTTTAAGAAAACGAGGCGATATTGCACCTTTTGCATATCTTCAAAGTGTTTTGGGTTTACAGAGCTTGTGCTGAAATGTTTCTTGCTGATAATTATGAGCTAACTGAACGAGTTTAATGCTAGAAGATGCTTTTCGTTAAATTTAATCAGTGTATCCTACATCAATTTAATTTAAATGCCTGACAGACTTGATGCAGTTGATAGCAACATTCATTTTTAGCTTATGCATTCTTTACTTTGTTGGAAAATGGTAAGAAAAGTATTTATGTTTCTAGCTAAAAAGACTAATTTCTTGAAATCTTACACTGTATTTTAAGGTGAACACAAGGCAGAACCTGCCTCTTTCCATTGGGTCAGCGTTGCTTACGGTCGTGTAAGAATACACAGAGGCGAAAAGCGTCTTCAGGTGCTAGTAAGAAAGGGTTTCAAGTAAGTTGTGGCAACGACCTGCTTTATAATTCTCAAACGAAATGAAGTTATGTGGCTTTTAGGTGGTTAGGCACGATAAACACAGCGGTGTTTGCTTGTTCTCTAGCGATAGCCCGGCTGAATGTTTCACGTGCAAGTTTAAGCTAAAATTCAGCCTCGTGGATTGAGCTTGCCACTGTGCTGGTCGCTCTTAGGGCTGCGGGGTGAACACACGTATTTATAGGGATGGTTCGATCTGCTTGAACTCCAGAAGCAGTCAAATCTGATAGGGAGCATCTGCATCTTGGATGAGTGTTTATATTTAAAGAAAAGAAAGGAAAAGAAAAGAAAAAATGGTCTCGAGGCAATGAAGTCTTCGTAGCGTTTGGATAACCAACTAAAGAACAGGGGGCCAAATTCACAGAAGTTTAGGCAGATACCTGGCATTGTAGAGGAGTGGTACTCCAAGGAGGAGTAGTTTGTGTCCGTACCACTGTCAGTCTGCATTTTTTAGGGGTAAGTTGCTTTATATTTAGGTGTCTAAAGATGCTAATGAACTGGTGCTGCTGTAAGCAGCGTTGTCTGCTTTTCCATGGGCACTAACAGAGTGCACGCTAGCCATCTCCTTTCCAAATCTGTCGACCTCTTCTCTGTAGGCATTTGCATCTGTTGACCTGTGAGGGAAAGATTAGCGTAGAGAAAATGTGTCCTGATGTTTCCGCATCTCCAAGAACCTAATCTAGAATTATTCTTTCTTCCTTGTTGTGATAACTGTCAAAAGACCAAGGAAATCTTTTCAGTGATGATTTTCCGAAGCAGAGGAGCTCATATTAAATGTGATTTTCCTGCCAGATTGTGGCTGAAACCTGGGTCAGAACAAGAGAGGGAATAATGTCTGACAAATGTCTGTGAGCTGGTGTAGGAGAGGTCAGGATCTGGCCTCCCCAGCACGGGCTGCTGCGGGAGGTTGGGAGCTGTGGCTTGGCAGGTGATGGGGTGGGTGAGGCTGTTGGGGATAGCACAAAGTCAAGGAAAGATTTGCATTAGCTTCAAGCTCCACTGGGACCACAGGGTCAGAAATCAATGCTTGATGGGTGGGAAAGGACAGAACTAGTAGGGGAAGAGATGCTATTTTTAAGTTTCTAGAAATATTAAAGCAAATCCTTAAACTCCTTGGGAATATGCCTCCAACAAGCGAGTTCTGGACTTGCCTTCAACCTTAAGGCTGAGCCAGAATTCATTTAAAAACAAACAAACAAACAAAAAAACACCCAATCAACCTCTATAAGCATCTTCATTTTTGTTAGCATTTAGTTTATTACTAAATCTAACCTTCTTTAAAAGATGCAAAAAAAAATAAATACAAAGATCCAAGTTAATTGTATGATTAAATGGGAAATGTTTCCATTTTGGCAGTGCTCTGTTAACTAGCACTCAGCTACGGTGTTAGGCCTTAGCACATCTGGTCTGAGAAAGGCAGGAAGAGGAAACACATTGTTTATCAGACTAAATATAGTTGGATTGGACGTCTTCTTTGAGTAAAATGGTCAGAGAGGATGGCTGGTGTTTGCTGGACCAGATCTTCAACTGCTGCAAACATCAGTTCCTTGTGTTGCATAATATTGTTATAACAGCATTCACAGCCCGTCTCATCTCTTTGCAGAACACAGAATTTAAATTTAAACCACGTGCTGGGGGCCGGGTAACGAGAGGTGCAGGGTACCCACATTTCCCTTAGGCTAGATGCAACCTTTCGGTTGTGCCAAGGACGAGAAAAATCTGTGTGGGTTCAGTCCTGAGAACACCAGCTGCATGCACTCACCACTCACAATCTGCTATTTTAGTTGGAAAAAAGAGTCCAGGTTATTTCACGTTTACAGCACGGGTGTATTTGCACTGTGGGAGACGAATTACCAGAGGCTCCTGCAGCAGAGCTGGTGGGAGGAGCACTGGAAGGAGCTGGCGGCATGCTGGAGGCCGAGGGATGCTCTGCTTTGGCTGTAGCCCCTGGTCGTGGCAGCCCCGAAGTGCTGGTGGCAGGGGGTCAGCACAGATTCATCTCATCTGATCTTAGATCTGATCACCTGGTTGACCTGGTGCTGGTTAATGTTGTCTCTGGGATTTGGATAAAGCCAGGCTGAAGGCAGGCAGTGTCACGGCCGCCGAGGCGCTCGCTGTCCCTGCATCATGCTGCTTCACCGCACGTTGCGCTCTTCCGAGTACTGAACAAGCGCTGCAGTCACTTGTGTGCAGCACACAGAAATCCCAGCTCTGACCTGAAAGCAGATGAAAGATAGCTGGTAGCCCGTGACTAGATTCAGTGGATTATCTCTAACACCCTGCAGTGAGCCGGGCCGTTCCATTTCTGAACCTTGTCCAGTTCCATTTCTAGTGTTTTTTCACAGCGTTATGTGCAATATGGTTGCTAGCTGTAACTTTGGTCATCAGTAAGGAAACTCACACGATGTCCACGTGTGACATGAAATAATTTCTCTAATGCACGGCTTGCTGACGTGGGGTGAAAGCCCCTTGTCTGCCTGCCCACCAAGGAGCTCCGAGGCAGGCGAATGCTCTCCCTTCTCCTTCGGAGCAGAGAGAGGATTTCTGGAGCCCATACAAAGGGATTCAAAGCCTGATGCAGTCCCATAAGCTAGAAAGCCCCAAGCTGCAGACACTCTCCTCCTGCATCTTCCCCAGAAGTGAAAGCACAGCGGTAACTCTGACAACAAGTCTGGCTGCTGCGGAACCAAGCTGTAAGGTGGGGAGCATTTTCCTTTTGCACTTAACGGGGCGCTGCGCATCCAAGTCGGATCTCAGCGTTTGCTCCTGTAAATATGACAGCCCCAAACCGTGTCCTCCACCACCTCCTCCTCTCTGTGTTCCTATCTCCCAAGGAGAGAAGATAACCCTTAAGCTTCTGTGCTAGTAAATATCCCCGCCCTCACCCGAAGGCACAAAAGTAGAGTGCAATGAAATGTAGTTACTTTTCTTTGATTTAATTTATTATTTATTGGAAAATACTTTTGCCTGCGTTTGGTAGGAATGAGGAATTAGTGATGAGGGAGCAGTAAAACTGCTGGAAGTTGTTGGGAACGCCTGGGATAATCGTGTCGGGGATGGGACAGGCAAGTGCAGGGCTCGGTTCCTGCCCTGAGCAGTGCCGGGTTCTGCCTGTCGTATTCCCCGTCAAGCTTCTGATGCACTGGGATAAAGATGTTTGGTGTGACACAAACTTACTGGGGCAAGTGCCTGCAGGTTTGGTGAGGTTTAAAAAAAAAAAGAAAAGTCCTCTCCAGAGCTATTTGTACACACTCAATAGTGGAAATTTCAGCGTCATTGTCCCACTTGTGAAAAGGGAGCTTCTGAAGCACGGGCAGCTTGCTGACAGTATTTTCAAGCCTAATGGTCTGAGCTTTTCTTTTGTCTTTTTTTTTTTTTTTTTCCTGCTGCAGTGAAGGGCATCTGCACTTTTTCAGTGGATACTCGTAGAAAAAAAAATAAAAAAAGCCTTACCACAACATTCAAAATGTTGGGGGGTGGCTGAGGATCCCGTAGCACTTTTCCTGAGTTCAGGGGGGATTTGTCTGGCTGAGTGCGAGGCAGCTCGTCCCCAGCGCCTGCAGCCGGTCAGAGGAACTGTGCCCCAAACCCTGCCGGCTGTTACAGGCAGCTCGCAGGCAGACACCGATCTTAGAGACATCTGGAATTAGGGGAGATGAATCTTCACCTTGCAGCGTGCTGGCTGGGAGGCAGCGCTGGTTTCTGAAGGGTTTCTGTTGTGTGAGCGATGGTACTCGCCTCCGCTCCCTAATGGCACGCGTGGGGAAGCGTGAGGTCTTCCTTTTGGGTTTTGTTCCTTACTCTAGAGCAGGTGGCACTCCAGCGGTGGATAACGTAGCTGATCCTGGTTAGAGTACTGTGGCATAAATACGGCTTTCGGGTTGCTGAAGTATTTAGAGAGTGTTACCATCTGAGCATTGGACTGTGCGTACCTAAAAGTGTGTTGAGACGTAATATTTGTATCCCAATTGATCAAAGCGTCTCCTTATGCTTATTCAATACCAGATCCCTATCATGAAACTTACCCTAACGAATCTGCTAGGATGACAGAAGATTCAAGCTGCCAAGTCTTCACTTGGGAGACGAAACAACCAAGCGTGAGCGCTCCGCTCTGATTTTGCCGTGTTCCCCTTGCCTCCAGTCCCAGCTTACGGGAGCGTTCCCGATCCTGCCTAGTTGGTTACCTGCACGTATGCTCACCGTTTGGACAGAAATGCACTAAAAGGAGTTGCCCTACTGGGAAGGCTTTATATTGTACAGAAAATGTGGCACTAGGTACCGCTCTTCACGTGCACAGGAGAGTTAACAGGTGTCGGTTTCGTTTACAGAAAAGATGGAGCTTTGCAATTTCCTATAATATATTGCAATATATTTAAATGTCCTGTTTGACATGTGAAATGAAGCTAAGTTAATGCGTTGTTAATGTGTTGGAAGTATGAGGAAGACGATTCACTAACGACCAGCAAGGTTTTTAGAAGGTGTCCGGTATGTAGCAGTCTGTGTGATGTCTGGCGTACGTGCTGTTGTTAACGGAAGCAGCGATGCTGTTCTCGTGTAGAATGAAGCGTTTCTGATGAGTGATGCAATAGCTTACAGTGTCTTTCCTTTGTAGCTGCCCAGCGTGGTGAAGGGGAAGCAATTCTTGAAAAAGTTCAAGAGAACTGGTTAACTGTGAATGGGCCCTAAACTTTTCGTGAAACCAAGAACATATTTGGACACACACAGGACTTGAATACTCAAAAGGATTGGAACTTAGTGTTGTGCCAAAGTTAAAACTACTGCAGTTGGCAGAAGTTCTGCACTGTAAATAGAAGACTGATTAAAAGACAGCTTTTAAAAAAGAAAAAAAAAAAAAGGAAAAAAAGAAAATCAAATTTTAATACAGTACATTTTTATTCTGATACATAATGGAAACATTCTGTTTTAGACCTTTTCTGAAGAGGCTTCAGTGACCACTAGATTTTGTCCTCTTATATTTTGTTTGGCCTAATCCTATATGTTCTAGTAAGATGGGCTTTACTGCCTGTGTTCTTTGATATGTGATTAAGCTTATAGCTTGGAGTGACCAAACATTTTACAGAGTAAAAGTTCTTAGAAACAGTATAATGTAACTGATATTTCTGTGTCTTATTTATCAGGCTCTGCACAAACTTGGAAAGTTGTGCCGGACTTGTACAACTCATATATGGGAACGCAGCATACTTCTTGATACTACAAACCTAAGCCTTTGTGGCGGTATGGATCTCGTCTTTGGATTTATTTTTGTTATTTTTTTGAGGCAAAGAGATGAATGGATGCTGCTGTAAAATATTTGTAATATTGCCATTATTGCTTTCTGTAGCAATTACTGCTTTTGCTTCAACAGATAAAGAAAATAAATCAGAGATAGAAAAATCCTACAAGAAGCTGGTAGAAGAAAGGATCACGTGGGGACTTCTGAAAATAAACTTTGTACCAAAAAAATTTGAAACCAGAAATAATGGAATAAACGTCTCCTTACTGAGTGTGTGTGTTTTTCAAGGGCCGCGTGGAAACCAGAGACTGTGTTTGCCTGAAAATGTCACGAAACGGATCTTGCTGAGTGCTTTTTTTTTTTCGTGTTCCACAAAACCGAATTTCATTGATGCCTCGGAGGCGATACAAGTGGAGGAGTGGCTTGGCTGGAGAGCCAGCACCAGGGCAGCTTCACGTTGGGGTCAGGGCAGCAGCGTGCTGCTAACTATCCTGCCCTATCCACAGGGACGTTCCCGTGGCTTTTCTCCTTAAGGCAGATGCTCTTTATTACCACGCTGAAAATATTTGGGGTGGGAGGAGTAGGGGCGAGCAGGAGCCTCCCTGCTGAAGCCCCTGTCAACTGGACATCACGCTGGGTGACCTCAGGGCTGGTTTAAAAATGTGTTTTCCTCAGGCAGTGCCTGAGGTGGGTCTTGTTGAGCCCCAAATCTCTCTGGCAGCCCCAGGAGGCTCCAGGAGCCTCCCACCAGCCTCCCTCACCTCCCCAGCTACCTGCGGTGTCCTGCTCCAGCCACTGTGCCGTGGCCGGGGGTGTTTGGGACCCCGTTGTCCCCACAGGACCTGGCTTCACTCCCACACGTTGATCCCTGAAAGAAAAAGACAGGTTTAAGGCAACAGAGCCGGACCTGTGCTGTGGTTCATGTCAGCCCGGAAAAACTACGCCCTGAACCCAAGCAGCGACCTGGAGGCGAGCGCTAGCGGTCAGCACAGCTGGGTGTTTGCCCAAATAGTTGCACTCGGTCCAGTGAAAAAAAAAAAAAAGGAGGGGGAAAAAATGTTCGAGATTCGGTCAGCTCCAGAGGGAGGCAGGAAAGGCTTCACACAAGCACCTTGTTTTTAAAGTTACCTTTTTTCGGTTGCTGCGTTGGCAGTGGCTCCAAACTCGGCTATTTTTAATAATTTCAAGTCCTGACGGCGTTTTGGGGCTGTTCAATGCCTTGTTGCACTTCGAGTAGTGTAAAATGAAAGCTCTGACTACGTGTTTCCAGTGCAAAAACGCTGAACTGTGAGCGTTGTGACTAACTCCTTCCCATCCGTGTCGCCTTGCAGTATCGGTGCCGATGTGCGTTACCTTAAAATATTTACTTGGGACAAGAAAAAAAAAAAAAAGATGGGAAAAGGGGGAGAAACTGGTGGTCTCACTTAGCTGGTTTGTATCTTTGGGTGAAAATAAGGGTCAGCTCTGGCAGTAATTCTCTGAGCGACTGGTCCTGTCCAGTTGTGCAAAAGCTGCACCAGAGAACCCAAAAAAAAACCACTTTGGGTGTTCCCATGTGGAAGCCTCCAGACGGACAAGGAGAGCGGGACTGAAAGCCCACGAGTTGTGAGGGGCACTCGAGGGCAATCCCCAAGCCCTTTGTGCATTTCTTTGATGTAGCTTTTTGGTTGCTTGGTTGTTTTCCCGTTCTTTAGGTTTATTTCTCTCTGTTCCTGCAAGGCAGCAAGGTCGCAGGCAGTCAGCTCAGGTTTCTGGATGAGTTTTGGGCCTGACGCCGCCCGCTGCGGTGGCTTTGGTGCCACGTGGGACCTGCAGCTGCATCTCAAACCAGCCTACGATTTTCTAGAGCTCACCTGAAATGCTGTTTTTCCATCACGGGCAATATCCGCTTGTTTGGCACCGTGCAAAGAAGCTGAAGGATGGCTGCTGCTGCGAAGAACTCACGGCTCAATAAAAGGAAGGAGACAATAAGCAGAGGGAGACGAGAACACCTCGAGACACTGCCAGGAAATGAAGAGCTCCATAAAGAGCTCCTCCTTGTCTTTTCTTCAGGGGAGAGCCCATGTTATGACTGTCCATTAAAAAAAAAAAAAAAAAAAAGCAAACTGCTCTCCCCCCAAGGTACGAGTGTTTCACAGCATCTGGAAGAACCCAGGGGGCAATTCTTTGGAATTAATTTCGCCTCGGAATAGGCTGGGGAGCTGGGAGAAGAAGGGCTGTGGGGGTTCAGACGAGCTCTGCCTGCCATGCTGCGTTTTCTTTTCCTGGCCAAAAAGCTCGGAACAAATTCCTGCCCGTCGTCTGGGCTGTCCTGCGTGTCCGGGCTTCCTCTGGGCTCGCCCTGATGGCGAACTGAAGCACACGAGATCGTCCCCAGCTCGCTGAGGCTGGAGCTGGGTCCCAGCACACCACAGCTGGCTCAGGCTCATGCCAGGAGCTCCAGCGGCTTGGCTGATGCGCAGGAACTCGGCGACTGCAACTTCTCAGAGCCCGTCGGTGCCACTGGCCTGATTTTCACCCGCTGAGCTGGTGGTTTCGGCTGGCAGGGGGGTAAGACCTCGTCTGCCTGGAGGAAGAGATTCATCTGTGGCTTGTTATCCTTGAGGATACACGGAGCAGCTGTGCCAGTTCAGGATCCTGTTGGGCTCCTGTACCTCCAAACCCTCTCAGAGCTGCCTCTTGCAGAGCTGCTTTCTCCCACGTGAAGCCAAGGCTCACAGCACCACAGCAAACCACGCCGTGCAAGCTCAGGCAAACAGCTTTGCTCACGTACAGCCGGGATTTGTGCACTGGCAGCTGCACCGATGACTCGGGTCTCGCAGGAGAAATTGAGCAAACCTCCAGTGCTGACAAGGCAGAGGAATTTCCTTAAGTTGCACTTTTTTAATTCTGGTAACTAAGACACGAGGAGCTTTTTAAATGTCTGAGGGGAGGCGGGAGAAAGGGAGAGCCAGGGAAGGAAGGAAGAAAGGACGGAAGAAGAGAAGTGATGCTACGCCTGGGACTTCTGCCTCAAAGCACGCAGTGCCCTAGCCGCTAGGCCCCCTGCGTGGCACTCAGGAATTGCTCCCCTATCATTGATTTACCAGGCAGAGGCACGCTCGTTGCAACACTGAGCCTCTGCAGACCATGTTGGTATCCTCAGAGGCACCGGCGGCTGAAACCCTGAGCCCTGGAGGACTCCGCAATCCACGCTGGCAGCCAGCTGGCTGCTCTCGGGTTTGCCCCTGGGAACGCCTTGCACTTTGTGTTTTACTTTGAGCGGGGGCCACATTTCACTTTGATTACTCATCTTTCTTTCTTTTTTTTTTTTTGTTCTTTTAGATTTGTTCTTAACAGTCCTGCTGGATTTTAGTGCTGTACTCATCAGACCTGTGTTTTGCAGCATGACCGGCAGTCCTGGAGGAGTGGGGAAGCAGCAGCACGTGCCCAGCATGTGTGAGGAGAGGCGCAGACGCTTGTAGCTGTTCAGACACCAGTGCCAACCTCTGCAGATTCCTTCCCGTGTCCTCTGCGTGTCCTGCAGGAGCTCAGCACACCAGTCTGCATGCAGAGAGGAGACAGATGGTTTTGCTGTGCACATACAAGAAGCTCTGACTGTGCTCGCCTACCCTGACGCTTGTAATGAAACGACTGAAGCATCACGTGGAGCAAGCTCCTGCTTCCCTCCAGACTTGCTTGTTAAGCAGTTTCCTATGTTCAGGAGGGCTTGTTTGCCAAACGGTCAGCTTAGTAGCGAAAGAAACCTCAATTCTCTCTCATTTTCTGGTCAAATCTACCTGCCAATGTTTAGTTTCTACCCAAGGATTTATACCAGCTGATGCTAGTTCCAGTCACAGCTATGCTGGTGTGGAAGATATTTTGAGCATATTTTGAACACAAGCATCCTCCACCCCTTTCTCACATCTCTGCTAGAAGGAAACCTTTCAAATTATCCATACAAGCAGTGGTTTGGCCTCGAATGCTGTTCTGGTAGGCACAGGTTCATGAGTCCATTTTCAGGTTAGGGAAGCACAAGGACGACTTCTCAGCTCACCTTCTCTGAACTTGTATGGTGGTTTGGTGGGAGGAAATGGGTTTCCCTGGATGAAAGGGCCAGCAGGGCACAGAGAGGAAACAGCATTGCAGGCCACTTAAAACATGATACACTTTCTGTATGGTGGTAACCTAAGGCAGGATGGGCAGCTGTTAATAAGCAGTGCCATGTCTGAGTCTTAAAATCTTAAAGAAGCTCTAGGATCAGTCTTTACTTTGCTGTGTCCCCTTTTCCCATAGCACAACAATGCAGAGTGCAGGGAGATTTGGGATGTTCTGTGTTCTAAAAGCCTTCTGAAAGAGATTTCAAAAGTTCCCCATCCTGCCTTGGGCGAGAACTGAAATCAAATGGAAAAGTTACTGAGATACTGCACCATCCACCCTGGCACGCACACTGGACCACGATACCAACAGAGTAACTCCACGGTTCTGCAATTAATTCATCTAAGCACAGGACACTTAAGTTCAAGTATTTTTTATGGTATCTTTCTAAATTTCCATTAGGATGACTCGTGACCAGGATCTTCAGCAGAGCAGTGGGAAATGCAATAGTCCTGTTCCAAGTGGGAAGGGAAGCTTTGCCCTTTTAGCACCTACCTCATAAAAACAGTGCACAAATGCTAGGAACGGGATCACAGAATCATTAAGGTTGGGAAAAACCCTCAAGATCATCTGGTTCAACCATCCCCTACCACCAATGTCACCACTGAGCCATGTCCCCAAGCACCACGTCCAACCTCTCCTTGAACACCCCCAGGGACGGAGACTCCACCACCTCCCTGGGCAACCCGTCCCAGTGCCTGACTGCTCTTTCTGAGCAGAAATGTCTCCTCATTTCCAGCCTGAACCTCCTCTGGCACAACTTGAGGCCATTCCCTCTGGTCCTATCACTGGTTACCTGTGAGAAGAGACCGACCCCCTGCTCCCCCCAGTTTCTAGTTGCAGAGAGCAATGAGGCCTCCCCTGAGCCTCCTCTTCCCCACACCAACCACCCCCAGCTCCCTCAGCCTCCCCTCAATCTCTGCGGCTCTCCCCGAGGGGCTCAGCGCTGCCAGCGCGACCCCAAATCCGTGCCTCAGAGCCCCCCAACCCCACAGCGCCCTGCCCAAAATGGCGGCCGCGCCCCCTCAGCCTCTCCCCGGGCCCGGCAGGGGGAGCGCTGCCGCCGGCCGGCCGGGGGGGAGCCGCTCTGGGCTGCTCTCAGCGGCGATGGAAGCGGCAATGGAGCTGCCGCTGGGCTGCGAGTTCGCCGAGAGCCTTTTCTCTGGCGGCAGGGAGCGGGGAAAGGGCGGAGGGAGCGGGCAGCCCTACAGCGCCAAGCGCTGCGAGCCCCGGGTGAGGAGGCGGAGGCGGGGGGGAGCCGTGTGGGGCCGGCATGGGCTGGGATAAGGGCGGCTCTGACTGGGATTTTGCCTGCCCGGGGCTTGGGGGACGGGGAACGGGGTCTGAGGGAGGGTCCTGGGGTCTGAGGGAGGCTCCCAGGGGCTGCAGGAGGTCGACCGGGGTCTAAGGGAGGCTCCCGGGGGCTGAGGGAGCCGCCCCGGAGCGCCTCCGAGCGTGGCGGCCATGGGTTTACAACTATGTTTTGTTTTTGTTTTTTAATGCCCCCAGTGGTTCTGCGGCGAGACAGGCGGCGAGGAGGACGCCGAGATCGTAACGGGCAATAAATTCCGGGCTGACCTGGCCTACAGGGAGCGGCACTTTGAGGTATCCGCACACACCCAGCTCAGGGACGAGTCGGTGTCTTGGTCAGCAGCAGCTACCAGGACACTGAATTCAGGCCCTGTAGTCCTCAGTGTGTTGAGTGAACATACAGGTTTTTGTAAAAAAATCCTCGTCAAGCCATGCCCCTAAGTCCTGTGGTACCTAAATCCGTCCCGATGGTACCTTGGGAGGCACTACAACCCCGTCAGCTAGGGGGGAGGCGCTGCTGGTTAAAGTGTGCCCAAATAATAACATTTAACCTTGTTCTGGCAAGCTTTCTCAGCCAGCTGTCATGTCCTACAGGCAACGGGAACCGAGGTGAACCAACCAGCCTAAAAAAATGGTGTTTGGCCTCCGACCGAGCCTGTGCATCTGAACAGCCCGGCAGTGAGGAGGTCTGATGTTTGGGATCGCAGAAATTGTGGTCGGCAAGAGTTAACATGCTGATTTCTGTGCTCGTGGGGAGAATCACAGAATCATCTGGGTTGGAAGAGGCCTCCAAGATCACCTAGTCCAGCCTCTGACCTAACACTGACGAGTCCTCCACTTGCCTCGTCCCCCAAAGGTTGTCGCCTCACAGGTCACTGCCTGGCTGCCCTGCACCTTCCTCAGGGCTCCCCCTGGCTGTCAGGGTTCTGTTTTCAGTCCTGCTTTCAAACATTATCCCAGCTCTGCTGACACCTTGTCTGTACCTGATGGACATTTTCCAATCTCAGCCTGAATGGCTTCACAGAAGTGTTCTGTGGGAGATGCCTGAGGCTGCAGCCAGGCATCCTGCCCCATGAAGAGCTTTGCTCCCTGCCCCGTGCTGCGATGCCCAACCTCTAGGGACTGGCACCCTGCAGATCTGCAGCACGACACAACATCTCTTGCTTCCCGACCATCTTCCCTCACAGCGATCCACGTCAGCCGTGTCTGGTGGCGTGTTCTTGGATTGCTGCGGCAGGACCAGAGCCAGGGTAGAGAGTGTCTGCGTGTAAAATCACAGATTTGAGGGCAGTGACCTCAGAAAGGGGGCTGGAAATAAGTAAACGGGACTAAATATTCACACATTATGAATAGTTTTTGATGCCAGCCTAAGCTAGTGGATAGGAGAGACCAAGGACAGCAGTGATCTAAGCCTTTTTTTAGGACTGCAGAACCTGCTTGCGTTCGTAATGCCAAACCTTTGCCGGGGTTATACCCCTTCATCACGTAGCAAAGCAGACTGGGACATCCTGCAGCCCTCCTCTGGTCCCCCTGGCCTTGTGCCTGCTGCACTCACCGGGTGTAAGGGAGCTCCCACTTCTGCTTGAGAAGGAAAGTGAGCTTACCAGCGAAGAGAAATGCTTTGGCCATTATGCCAGGAGGTATTCTGGGGATGTTGCTCATGGGCTCTTTTTGTTAGAGCTATTCAGGTTTGCAAGGAATAATTAAATATTCATTTAGAGAGATGGGAGAACGAGCTCTGCTCTTTAGTCTTTTGGTCTGAGCTCTCCCACGGAGAGGAAGGAACCAAGATTCCAGTCTTAGCATCACTGAATACTTAATATAATGTATTTAAATGTTAATTGGAGTCCTGGGGAGTGCCCTGAGCATTAAGCTACAGAGTATTGCTCATTCTTGTCTTTTTCCTTGAACCAATTAATATTTAATTATTTCATGCAAATCCGAGCCGCCGTACAGGAGTGATGGAGGCTCCCTTTCTTTGCGGTGTTCCCCAACTTGCTGATTATTCATGTGAGGTGAGCCCTTCTCATTGCTCACAGGGTTGGAGCCCTTCTCGTTGCTCACACCTTCGCAGGTTCACACCTTCTTGCCAGGATGTTCGTGGATTTAAAGCAACGTCTGCCAAATTTGGGCTCAGCGCTGTGATCGCTCAGTTAGCTGGGACGAAGGAGCCTTGTGTCATGTGTGCCCTGTCCATAGGTGACCTCCTGCAATCCCTGCCTGTGCTTAAATGTGGGTTAGGGCTGGGGCTGCTCGATGCTGTCCACGCTCGGGTGGTTCAGAGCTGGGCTCTCTGACCCCGAGGTACCAGGTCCTTTGTGCGCTGCTGGCCGTGGATGATAGCTGGGTCTGGAGACACGAAAATTTGGGCTGCAGCTCCTGGATTCCCTTTGTGACTGTAGTTGTAAACAAAGCACACTGCCGGGATTGCCTCCAAATGACCATTTCTCCCTGTTCTGTCTGCCTTTTCTTTCTACCACTGCTACCAGAAATCTCTGCGGGAATACTCCAGCTGCTTGCTGCTCTTACCTCCCGGTAACATCGCCATGAGGCGGGACGTCCAGGAGGGTCAGGCTCGGTGTTTGTCTCAACTAGGAAGGCACGAGGAGGCTCTGGATATCGCAGAAAAAATGGTAACTCCTCCAATCTTTCTTGTATGCTTTGAACATAAAAACGTTGCTGGTAGTCCTTTTATATGGACTGTTTTCTGGAAAAATAATCTCCATGTGTGTAATCCTTCAGGATGCTGGGAGTGTTTGGGAAGCAGAGGGTAACTGTCACTGCAGATAGCATCACCCTGTAGAAATCAGAACAGCCTGTACCACTGTGAGCTCCCCGTGCAGGGAGCCTGGTAGTCCTGGAAGGGACTGAACATCACGCTCTGCCAGGCAGAGTTAACGTAATGTAATGGGATTTATAAGGAAGGGGATAAATGAGTGCTTAAATCTTTCCACTCTAAAAGTGACGGTTCAAAACTTGCTTTTATTTCCATGTACTCGCTGCCAAACTGCCACCAAGAAGGGTGCCGAGCCCCAAGTGGAGCTTTTTCCACAGAGGAAAGTGTCGAGAGGCTCTGAAATCTAAGATTTCTGCTGCTGTTTATTGTATAGAAAAGGTATTTATATTATTAAAGGGCAGCTGGATAAAACTGAAGGCAAAGAAGCAAGTGACAGAGTTCAGGGGCAGAAATGTTCAGGGGCCTTCGTGTCTTCCAGGCTGGGACAAGGCGACTGGAGGCAGCACTGCCAGATTGATCTGGCGCGATCCATGTCACGCTGTGTCATTTAAAGCTCAGGGAACAGCCTTGCATGATTTAAAAATTACCTTCAGAGGTGTTTGTGTGTCATTATCCAGGGAGATGCTTTCTTAGGCTCTGAAGGATGGCTCCGTGCTTCTGTTATTAATCTTTTATCTTCTGTTTTCAGAGGAGCGGCGCTACTAACACGGATCACTTAACGACTGTTCTCAGCCTGCAGCTTGCCATTTATCAGGGTCTGAAAAACGTCGAAAAAGAGCTGCTGTGCCTGCAGCAGCTGATCTGCCTACATCCCTTCAACCCTTGGTACTGGAAGTTACTTGCTGAAGCTTACACGAGCCTTTTAGGGAGTCTGTCTCCATTACACGTTCCAGAAACAAACACAAATCGCTCTGAGGAGGTTGGTGTCAGTGACAGCCACTCCAAAATACCAACTGGAAGAGAGATTCATCTCCCAGGCAGCCAGAGGGAAGGCCTTTGGTCCGGCCTTGCCACAAAGAGCGAGGACACAGGGACTTGCAGCAGCAGCCAAGCTGAAAATGAAACCCTCTGCGCTTCACACGCACCTGAGAGAAAGGACAAAGGGAAGGAGGGAGCCTCCGAGGCCTGGGAGCAGAGCGTGTCGAAGGAGGTTGGGATAAAGGCATGTGCCTCATTTATTAGAGCGAGGTAATTAAATGCATTCTTAGAATAATGCTAACTTCTCCCAGTCCAGGACAATTTTAAGCATATTGTTATCCAGCCCTGAGATTTTGAGCTTCCATTTTCAATGTCAAGGTTTGTTTCGGCACTGACAACACAAAGAGGCACCCTGCTTGAGATGTAAAAGGTAAAGTCCACCAACCATGAACAACTAAAATCCACGTGGAAAAAGTCTGCCATGCAACATGGAGAAGCAAAACTTTTTTTTAATGATGTCATTATGTGATTTTTTTCAAATAATTGTATACAAAAGGGGTTGTTCTCCTACAGACACTCCTGTTAGAGTGTGGCTGTTTGCTGTTAAAGATGCAGCAGCTGAAGGCCCCCAGAGGGAAGCCTTGCCCGTCTTCCCTCTGTGAGTGCCACCTGTCTTATTTGCTTGAAGCCTCCTGCTTGAGCAAAAGCATATTATTTCAATAATACACCGATTTGCATAATGGATGAGGCTGAAAAATGAACTCCGTGACAGCTGACTGACAAGGCTGCATTAAGATGCTCTTCCCTTTTCTTTTCCCTCTTACTAAAACTCTTGTACACAACAAAAATCCCCACAACACAGTCTTTCAAAGCGATAATTAGGAAATGATTTTTGTTCAAATAGCCTTGATTTTTTTTTCCTCTTGCCTTTCAGTAACACGTTAGGCATTGAATGTGCTTAATGCCTTTTTATGAACTTCTGAAGGTTTTTACAGAGAACACCTTATAACTGCCCTGTGCGGGCGATTTTTAAGAAATATTAACACAGGGGGAGTAGTTTTTAACTGTACTCTGACTGAAAGAAGGGGATTTAATTGCTGCTTGGGAGCAGGTAGTAGATTTAGTATCGATGCCCAATATTAAGCTACATTGGTATTAAAATAATTTGTGCTTCTTGTTTCAGTGTGTGTGGCTCAGCACTGAGACACCTGTAAATTCAGGGATCTCCTTGCTTCACGTCACAGATTCACAAGGTGTTGTGGTGGTTTATATTTGCATAAACACTTGTCCAGGGGGAACTTCTTCCCATCCCAGGGTTTATGTGTCAGGCTATCTGAAATTTTCAGCTGGATTTTAAGTGAGACATGGATGTTGTGTGTGCAGGGTGAATGGCACCTGGAAAAGGGATGTGAGCATGGCTTTATTCAGTAAATAAGGGGCTGCTTCAGAGCATTGTAAATAATTAATTCTTTTAGTTTTGCCAGCAACAAAAACGGATAAATGGTTTTGCTTAGTTTTCAACATTTCATTTTTTTTTAAATATTGTTATGTAAATTTTGAAACAAAAATGTTCCGTCAGAAAAGCTCCTTCCAATTTTTACTTCGAATTCCCTGTGAAAACTTCTCTGAACTTACCCGTGGTTTGTTGGCTGAGACTTGGAGGTTTTGATGTTTGTATTGCTCACGTGAAAACTGCCAGCTAAGATCGAATGTTTCCTCTTGCTGCAAATGCACACCTTTATTATAACACCTGCTACAGTTAGCGGTGGTAGATGCGATGTATTTTTATTTTATTTATGTATAAAGCGTGAATGAAACATAGTTTCAGCATGATCCTGCTAAGCCTCAGTGGTTGAACAGGCACAGATATTTCCTCTGCTGACACCTTTCACAGTCCTCCTTGTGGGAGGAGGACTCTGGGAACTGCCAGGATGTTGGATAGTTGCAGGTATTTGATGTTTGGCTGCACAAAACCAAATCTCTGGCTTTTCAGGCTGCAAAAATAATAACTGAAATACTCAGTGCTGTATGCAGCAAGGCCCTGCTGCCTTGTTTGGCCTCAGGGCGTGGGGGGCTTGACGCGCAGCACCTTGCCTGCAGACCTGAGCTTCTCTGACTACGTGGGGAGGAAAATGTCTGTGTAGAGCAAGCAGAGGTACTTGGTACGTTGTTTGTTAAAGCAACTGTTTGTCTCAGTACCATAGCACGCAGGATAAGCAGAACAGATTGCTACACGTGTTTATTTCTCCTCAGTTTGTGCAGCTGGCTAAATTCAGGAAGGAGAGCTGCTTTAAAGCACGACACTGCAGCTGGGTTTAGGTTTGCTGACGTACTCTTTCTCCAGCAGTCCCCTCTTTAACTGCCTTTCTCATTCCAGGCTTTTACTGCAGCTTACTCAGTCGCAGCAGGCATCCTTTGCTCTGGAGAGCAACTTAAGAAGTCAAAAAGAAATTGATGACAAAGTGACGCAGTTTGGTTTAACCCCGACCTCCTTGCTGCTGCTGAGCGAGGTAAGGGAACGCTGCTCTGGGCGGAGGTTCCTGCGGGCAGCTCGGCACCGAGGCCTGGGTGAGGTGCGTGGGCCGGGTGCTGCCTCCAGCTGCCCGACACTCCCCTCGCCTCGTTAACTGTGCTGGGAAACGAGGGAAATTAGGCAGGGTGGATGCCCTGGGAGCGCGTTATCCGGAACTGTTTGGTGCTGCCGTGTGTCACGCGGGTGGATCCGTGTTCTGACGAGGTTCTCCTTGCGGGAGCTCTCAGGGCTGTTACCTTCCTCATTGGGCTGGCGTTTGCATCATCATCATCGCCGTTCATCATCGTTTCCTGGGATGCAGATTTTATCTCGGGGCCTTGCGATGCCACCAAGTGAATCACGGGCGTGAAATGCGCGTGGAGATTGCACCGAGGGCCACTGGGTTGGGGAACTCTCTGCTCCTTCAGCAAATTTCCAGAAAAAGCCAGAGACAACCTTTGACATTATTTCTTTGTTCGGTCCGAGTACTGGCTTGTAATTTTAAAGAACTACAGAGGAGGAGATTAACATTGTATGGCTTTGTTCACAGAGCTTAAACATCTGTGGTGTCATTTATGGAGTTCTATTTTAAAGAACAAAAAGAAGCTGGCGGGATTTAAACTTTGCTGCCAGCATTACAGGTTTAAGTTACTAAAAGCCAAATTACTTGCCAAGTTGGCAGAAGATCTTGTGGGATTTCAGCCGTAAGAGGGCAGTAGCATGCAGACTATCGCAGCTTTTAAAAACGCTGGTGAAGAGAAAATCCTGTCCCTGCTGCCTTTGGCCTGACACCCCCTAGCAGGAGGGGGTGAGATTTCCCCTGCTATTCAGAGCAAAAATCCCCACATACAAGCCGAGAGCGAAGGTGGGAGGGGTTGTGCCCTGTGAAGCCTCTCCGTTTTCCATAGTTATTGCAGAATCCAACAGGCAGACAACGTAATGGTGGCTTGGGAATGTCTCCTAGGTGGAGTATGGTTCGTGGGTAAATGCCTTGGCTGTTGTCACATTCCTGGTTTCCTCTGCACATCGTTTCCTTGTTTCCCACCTTCTTTCTTACTCTGTTTGCAGGTTATGGGGGCGGATCTGATACCGGAAAAGCTAAAAGAGGAATTCCAAGGTGAGGTGAAATGCATAGGCTCCTCAGCACTGGCATCGTTGGTAACTGCCTCGGCCTCAGAGTTTGAAACCAAGTGGTTCGGTGAGCTCCGGGATGATTTATGCCACTCGGACAGACAGCTCTGTCAAGATTCACATATCCCACCTCTGGCTACGTAAAAGTTTTGTTGTTTGTATTACCACGTCTTCAAATGCCTGTGGAATGATGCTTGCAAAAACGTTCGTATTTTTTAAGAATTCTTACTGTGTGTCTTTTAAGAATGCATAAATCTCTGCATTTAAACTCTTAATGTCTCATAATTTTCTTTCCTCACTGATATATTGACAATAATAAGAAATCCAGTATAAAATTGCCCTTTCAGTGAACTTCCAGAGTTAGCTTTCCGTCACGAACCTCACAGGGTTCTTGAAGCACCTGTGAGTTTTTGGGGGCTCTGTGATGCTGGTGGAACGTAAGGCTTCCTTTTTGATGCCCAGTTTGAAAATTCCTCGGTTTTAAATCCTACATGGAATCTAGAGCCATGGAATTAGTAATTTTATTAATTTAAGTTTTTAATATTTCTTGATTAGTTGACATTACGCTGATCTGCTGTTCAGAGCTGAGTGGCTACGAATCTTAAATATATTTGTGCTGCAAAATTGTCAAAAAGAATAATTCCATATTTTGGGGGAAAATATCTAAATAGTAACTGTTTAACTTAGAACTGGAAGGAGATTTTTGCCCAGGCTAAATGCTTTTGCAGGCGTAGAGCTAGCCACAGCCTAGTCTTCAGGGTGCTTATACAAGGAGGGTGAAAAACTGTCAAGGCTGTTTGTATGTGCTGAAGAGTGTTTAGTCAGAGCATATCCTTTGTAAAACCTTGCCAGGAATAAAACTCCTCTGCTGGGGAAACTGGCGGTGCTGTTCCTGCATCCTTACGCTCTGTTTTGGGTTCACAGTGACAGCACTTCGCTTTGTGCTCTGAAGCTTCGACGTTGTGTGCTGTGGGCTGTGAAGATCCTGCAGTTTCTTTAGTTTGAACCAATTCAGATTTGAGGCAAAGTGTGCTGTTTCCCCCATTTTATCTCCTGTTAAACTGTGACCTTCAAATTCTTGGTAGCGTTTTGTAAAAATGGTGTTTAATGGCTAGAGTTTAAAACTGGGACTCTCTCAGACACAGTTTATTGTGACTTTTTTCATGTTTTCTTTCTGCAGTACTAAAGAGTGCTGAAACTTGCAGTAATTCAGAGCTGAAATGTCATGCACTGTATGTGAACACACTTTGTATCTGCAACTTTTAGATGGATTTTCAAGCTTATTAGGAAATCGGCCGCTAGTAACTTGGTGGACCACGTCCCACTGCTAAGCTGACTGTGAAATCTCCCCGGAAAAATGGAATATTGCCCTGAGCCACGCCAAATTACCTGGGATAGTTTGGTGCCTTAATGCGATTAAACCACGTCCTGGTCAGCTGGTTACAAAATCTGAGGGCTTGGCAAGGGTACTCGGGGAAGCATGAGTGCACTCCGCATGTGGTGCAGGATATTCGTTTTAGGCGTGCGTGCGCTTGGCTGGGTGGAAATTGTTGGGGTGTGTGTGTGTAGAGCACCGTGTTCGGGTGGCAGGAAGCCCACCTGGAAGGCTGAGGATGCTTTTAGGGCTGACTGCTGCTTGCAGCAAAGACTGTAAGGGGCTGTAAATTACTCACTGCTGGCAGTAACAATAGAAGGTCTTGCAGAAAAGCCATAGAAACGTGGAAAGCTTCGTGCTAAACATGTCAGCAAAAAAAAAAAAGTTACAGACACGGGGACTTTTCCCAGGTTCTTCTTAAACTTAGAGTCCTGAGTAGCTCCAGACAAAGGATAAAATCTGTTTTCCCACAGCTCCCCCGGAGGTTCAGCAGTTACAGCATCGTAACGCAGCTTCTGTGGGACCGGGTTTGCGGAGAGATTTCACGGGACCTTGCCAAAGGGTTTGGCTCTGCTCTTTGGAAGGTGGAAACAGCATTCGGGCTGCTTCAGCAGCAACAGAACCGCTCTGTGAGCTCTTACCAGGGTTGGATTCTGTCACTCCAACACTTGTTCATACTCCAGGTGCTTTGGGCAGCACCCTCCGACCTGCTCATGCTGCTTGGGAGGCAATTTGGTGCGTGCAAACGCAGCCCGAGGAGCAGGAGCGCGTTACTGCTGTGGCTAGCGAAGTCCCCCCCCTTTTCTCATGGCATGGCAGCAGCGTTTATGCAAGCCCGTCCCTCGCAGCAGGCTGACAGGTATGTCAGCATCCTGCCCCGACCTTCCTGACAGGTAGTTTCTGCAGCTGCCTGTAACCACACGTTCCCTTCACCGCTGAGCAATCAAGCCTGTGGGAGCCTGTTAGGATTTTTGGCATAACTCGCCGCTGAAATTGCAAACTCTTGATTGTTTTCCATCAAAACTGAAATTCCATTCGTTTGACATTCAAGTTCAGCTGTCGTCTCAATTAGCACACGCTGTTTCCTTCATCCAGGGCTGAAATTAGTTCTTCCTAGCTCACAATGCTCCTTCTGTGCTATTAGCTCGTCCCTTATCTACTCCTCGTTAGCTGCGTGCTCCGAAACTTCTGGAGGCAGAGCACCTCACCCACGGTGATGAAAGGAGCTCCCTTCTGGATTTCACAGGTCATGGCCTAAGGAAATGAAGGCTTCAGAGGTGTAGTGGTCTATGAACTAGTGGTCTACGAACTTCTTCCCATATCTGCCCTGTGCCACCCCCAGTTGGGCCCCAAGAGGATCAAGGGAGTGACCCCAATTTAGAAGAAAAGCCTTAATTAGGCAGGAGGGACGTGTTTAATTCTGTTTGAGTTAATTTCAGAACAAAACTACACATTTCCTCATCAGCTGGGCTCTAGCTTTGTGGAAATCACGTAGGTTGTGGAAGAGATGAAGAAATCAAATGATTCTCAAAGGGATTTTAATGAAACTTTCTTTTATTTATCTAAATACGATAACTGTATGTGATAATTAAATAGAATTCTCATAGGAATGAAGAATCAACTTTCCCTTCTTCCCAAGGAATCCAAAAAATGTTGCTATGTACAGAGATTTACAGGGATATGCAATAGTTCATTGGGTTCCCAGACTCCAAAATGTGATACACCACAGGTAAAAACGTCCACACCACAGCTGGTGCAGCACGTATCCATCCTGTACCTTTTATTAGGTTCTGTAAACTTTACATTTTCAAAACTATAGCTCATCCAAGGATGAGCAACTTTCCTCAGCTGAAATTCTGCCGTTGCACACAATTTTCATGATCCACAGCCTAAAAAAATTAAGTTATATTCTTTTGAATACGATTTTTGGACAGGTGAGAAAATGGGCAAAATGGGCCAGAGGGGCAAATCAATGTGCTTAGGCTTCTGTTTTCTATTGGAGTCAGATGAAAGGTGATGTAAAGCAGGATTAAAAAATCAAAATAATAAATCAATAGATGTTAAGTGTCTGGTAACTTTGGGGCTTCGATGGAAGTCCTTCATATATCATGAATTTTCTTACTATTCTTTGCCTTTCACTTACAGAAGCTTCCTTAATTTTCATGGATTATTTGGCCAAAAGTTTCTCAGCTTTGTGGGCGATGCGGTGCAAGGTGCTGAACCTCTGTAACTTCTTTTAATTCAATGGGAACTGCTGATACCCAGTTTCTCTTTACAAATTAGAAACCTTGAAGAGTTCTGTAAAAAAAGTATCATAACCTCTAAGTTAATGTTCAGTCCAGTGAGCACTGAGAGGATTTCCAAGATCCACGCACTGCTGAGTGAGCTGGAACTCGGTACTTGGAGGCTGTTACTACGAGGACTTCGCTTCCTTGCTTGGCTTCAGTTTCCAGGCTGACTCCACGCAGCTGCTCTGCAATGAGGAAAATTGCTCGGAGCTGGTGGGACTGGAGGTTTGTAACCAAGCGGGCTGGAATGCACCCGCGGTGCTGATGAGGGAAAGGCAGCACAGGGTGGCTGCGAGATGGCCTCTGCACCCCGCACTGTTGGTGCGGGGCCATTTCGTGGTGAGCATTTTCTGTTCCTAGAAACCCTGCACAGAGATTTCCTCGCTGCGCACCTCCAGCAGACAGCTCGGAGACAGTGCGAAGGTGGAAACTGTGCTTCCCTGCCAGCCCTAAAGGAGTCCTCCTAAATCAAGACTGAGCTGTGATGACAGCGTCATGTCAGTCTGGCACGTAAATAGCAGCCTTCGGTCTCCCGAATTAGTTCCTTAGGCAAGTGCACAAAAGGCACGGGGAGAACCTGCGCCTTACCCCGCGTCCAGGTGCCCGGCCACACAGAAACCTGCTGGATCTACCGAAACAGCAGCCTGCCACCAGGGGCACATGGCTGGCAGCACTGCTTTAGATGTGCCCTTACCGGGACCATGAGGCATCCGACGTTTATGTGCTGCCAGGCTTGGCTTGTTAATTAGGGAAACGAAGCATCCACAAACACCGAAACAAAAGAAGAGGCTGGGAATCGTCTTCATTTTGCAGTAGGCAGAATTTCTGCGTTCAGCAGTGTACAAGCGATTGCTAAACAGGTCCTCAGTACGTCCGCCTGCAATTCAGGGCCAGGCGCTTATTATGCAAACAGGTTACCTTTGTGGAGGCATCGCCAGGGCGAATTTAAGCCCGTCCTGTTTGGTTCCTCCTGTCGGACTCTCACGGGCCGGTAAATGTTCATGGTGTTGTAGAGGACCGCCGAGCTGTCGGGCGCGTAGTGCGGCTGGTAGTAGTTGGGCTGGACGGCCGGCTGGGCCGGGGGGGAAGGCGTGAAGGAGACAAAGCTGTGGAAAGAATTCACCCTGTGCAGCGGTGACTGCGGGGCCAGGTTGCTGTTGAAGATGAGAGTTCGTGGGGTTTGCTGGTTCTGGTGGTTGCTGCCGGTGGAGAGGCTGCTCAGGGGGTCTGAGAGGGTGTTGGCGCTGCCCTCGTTGCTGTCGGGGAGGCTGCGCTGGGGAGCCCAGCTGGTGCGGAAGAGGAAGGGCATGGTGCGTGGCGGAGACTTGGGGCCCCTGACGGGTTTGGACAGGGCGTAAAGGTGCCGGAACTCCTCGTCAAACAGCTCCACCACTTGCCCGGTGAACTTGGAGAGGAGATTGCGGTGCACCTGGCCGCACAGCCAGGTGAAGCTGGAGGGAGAGACAAGGCGAGGTTAGCGTTAACTTCAGTGGGGACGGGAGAGCCAACACGGGACGGAGATGTCCTGGTTGGCTTTCGGGTCAGTTCACATCAGCTCCTCGCTCTTTGACTTGGATCGAGCTTTGTTATTGCAGCTGCCTTTAAAAACCTT